CCCCAAAACCCCAAAACCCCAAAACCCCAAAACCCCATTTAATTTTAGTTTTATTGAAATCATTGAATTCGCTAGTCAATATACTGAATTTAAATTTACATTTCATCATATTCCTGCGAATACTCTTGCTGATAATCTCCCATGTTAATATCAGATTCATGGGCAGACTTCATTGGGGATTCCTTCTCAACTCCAGGATTTGCATCGCTATTATCATCCATATGGTGATTTTCTTCAAGCAGTAATGCAACTGATCTGGCGTAGAGTTCAAAACTAATTTCATCATCGTCAATTTCTTTTCCAAGACTCTTGAGCAGATCATTGAGCATTTCGTCTGATGGGAAGATACCAATGTCAGAGAAAAGTGTCTTTAGGGTAAGCATGTTCACTTCAGATTCTCCCTGAGCAACGGAATCAAATGCTTGTTGCAGATCTTCAAGCTCTTGATTAGTGAACATCTCATCTAGAGGAATATACTGAGCTCTATATCTAGCTCTTTCCTTCTTTGTTCTACCCATTGCTTTCTCAAGAATTTCAGTTGGGTTTTCTAATTTAATAGAAGGAAGTTTTGGCATTTGATAATCATCCATAAAATGAGGTCTATCATTGCCCACAGGTGCCTCTTTATCTTCAACTTCTGTATAAATTCCACATTTTGGGTTATCATCGACCCATTCTCCTACAAACAGTTTATTTTTCTCTGAAAATAGGTAACTTCCTTGGCCTTCTTTCTTATCATTGACCCAGTGCCCTTCAAAATGGTCACCATTTTTCTTAACGAGGACACCATAACCGCTCTTCTTGCCTTCGTGCCATTGACCTTCATAAATATCCTGGCTTTCGTATATAATCCGACCTTCTCCTTGTGGTTTGCCGTTGACCCAGAATCCGTCGTACCGGTCACCGTTCTTATAAAAGAAGGTACCTCTACCGTGCTTCTTGTCTTCAAACCAGTCGCCGGTATACTCTCTCTTGAGCTTGCCAGCCTCATTTCTCCAGTATGTGCCTTGGCCATGCCTCATGTTGTTAGCCCAGAGGCCTTCGTACTTATCCTTATTTTTGTAGATTTGGATGCCAAATCCTTCCTTGGTGTTTTCCTTCCAATCTCCGATGTATCTGCTGCTGGAGACCCATTTCGTCTGAAGAGACGAGACTGGTTCTCGAGCACCCTTATCAGTGTTGAGCTTAGTGTTCTTCTTTACCCAGTAGATGCTCCTATGAGGTCCGTTCTTTTGAGCCTTTCTGTCGTTCTTCTTCCATACATGCTCGAAATTAGGCTCTGACTGGCCAGCTTCGCTAACTTGGTAGTCCGAACTCTTGTTTGAATAGTCTTCCATTTATTTATTTCTTTATTTCGGTTTGAATAAAATTCTATATAATTAAATTTTAGGGGTTTTGGGGTTTTGGGGTTTTGGGGTTTTGGGGTTTTGGGG